CCACTGTGATGCAGGCCGTGTTCTACTCAGCATCTGCATTTCCCTGGGGCAACACTCCTTCCCACTCAAAATCACACTCCCCATCACACCGGCCCAGGCCTTATTTAGTTTCATACGCAGGATCACTGCTAAAATATCACACATTGCTGAACCTCAGCAACATGCCCTGTCTGAAAACCCCACTCCAGGCCCCTGTACTTCCTCATCTCCATTCATAATCATCACAAACTTTGTATGTCTAAAACAAATGTCTAAAAGCTCTTCCCAGCTACATGAGCTTCACCATGCATGCTTTGCTCTTTTTCAGTATTCTCGGTTGGGAATGTCACAGAGCTGCATGTTAGAGTTCACAGAAGTTCTGTGATTAGAACTGTGACAGCTCTGATCCCAGTCCACACAGATTTATTTCTTCAAGAGAACACAGCAAGTGCCAAAGCACAAGAGCACTCACAGAATGTCAGCCATGAGGGACAACTTGCACACCATGAACTGGGCAAATCAGGCAGGTTTTGGGATGTTCTGGCAGATATCAGAACAATCCACATGTGACATCAGGACACACCATCTCTACTGAGGCCACTTCTGCACTGCACAAGTAAAGGAAGTTCAGAACATATAGATTACTCCCATGTGTAATAAAATAATTCCTTGTAAATCCCACCTGAGGAGAAGCAAGGAAAGATCATGGTAATATCTATAGCTGTAGAGAGTACTGTAAAAGCCCACTACTACACAAGGAGAGCAACTTGCTGCATTCCCCAGCCATGTCTTGAAACACTGAACCAGAAAAAGTTGTTTCTTCAGACAACATTCAGCACTCTCCATCTCACCAGCTCTTACTAACGTTTGCCAGGGTCTCTGTACAAATCACAAACAGGACGGGGCTGCTGGGGAACGCGTCTCGAGCTTAGCTGTAGAGAGTACTGTAAAAGCCCACTACTACACAAGGAGAGCAACTTGCTGCATTCCCCAGCCATGTCTTGAAACACTGAACCAGAAAAAGTTGTTTCTTCAGACAACATTCAGCACTCTCCATCTCACCAGCTCTTACTAACGTTTGCCAGGGTCTCTGTACAAATCACAAACAGGACGGGGCTGCTGGGGAACGCGTCTCGAGCTGTTGTATTTTCCAGCATCAGTCTCATTACATGGCCATGACAATGGCAAGATGCCAGCAGCTCACATCTCCAGCAGCAAAGAACTTAATGTTACAACTCACTTTATAAGTATTCTGACCAATCACACAAAGCAAAAGTATATTGACAGTAGTTCGATCCAACCACTATAAGCACATGCAAGTTTGGTTAAAACAATGCTTGCTTATCTCAAATACAATACCTGCATATAAGCCTTAACACACGTTGCACAGAGTGCCGTTATGAAGCTTAGAACTTCCTAATATCTCACCAGATAGACTTTTCTGTAGCTTAGGGATTTATTCTAGACATGCATTAGTACACAGACCACTGTTCATTTGTCCTTACTTTTCTACTTCTTATACGGTTTTTCTGCTGACAAATCTTATCACTACTGCTTAGCCGTAATCACAGGTCTGTTGTCTCTGAGGCCTGCCTTTTGCAGCTCTCCCAAAACCCTCTGATTTTAAGGATCCCCACACTTTCCAACACGTGGTCTACACCAGGCAGGCAGCAGCAGCAGCACAGACAGTCCCTGCTGGCGAGACTCCAAACTGCAAGGGACACCGTGGGCATTTCAGCTTCACACTCTCATCTCATCATCAGCAGGGTCTGCCACTCCAGACCCTTAAGAAGTAGGAAAGCATCCTCAACAAGAGCACTCTGCTCCCATCTTCTCTCACCCTTTCCTGGACAAATCCTTCACTCCCGCACTCTGAGACCTGCTCTGAAGACATATATATAATAACCTCATGGTATTTTATTGTGACACAATCCATGGTGTCCCCAAGGATTTTCACTTTCCCCACACAAGTCTTTCTGCTGCTCATGGTCACCCTTCCCACCAGACAAGGGCCAGGCCCTACTCTATACAACAGATCACAGTTTCCTTGCCTACCACAAGGTTCAACATAACTGTTAGCATATTCTTCTCAGCAATGACACACCACAAAAATCCATGTTGACGATGGCATCATCAACACAGTGCATAAGAGATGCTCTGCTGCTGACACCTCATGTTTTCTAATGCTTATTTATGGGAATACTGTTTTCAAACTTGATGTTGGAACCTGTATACAGCCACAGCATTGATTTTCTGCTTCAAGAAAAACAGTTGTGCCAAGGGCACTATTTTAATACATGATTCGG